ATGCCCTCTCTATTGTATGTATGTCTTTTTGGTTAGTGTTCTACTGCCCTCTACTGAAGGCTTCGTGAACTTCAGTTTGAGCTGCACGAGTGAAACAGATGGATCATAAACAGAAAACTGAATTGTGCCCACTTAAGTTTCTTTGGGTCAAGGCAGAGCTTCAAACTGATCGAGCTTTTATTATAAAGGATGAGGCCGTTGTAAGAGATGGCTCCTGTATTTAAAACTCTCTGTTTTGAAGAGAGGCTATTTTGAAGCTTCAGCTTTTGCATTTTATTAATTCTTTAATGGATGTTCCAATATTTGATGTTTGTGAAGCACTAGTTAGTCCAGTGGTTCACAAACGTGCCCCCCTTTGTTTTACAAGAGCACCCCCGGCACAAACACACCCTCCAACCACACACGCCCATACTTTGTTTTCAAACTCCATTGCAGTTGATTTCACACTCTAAACAAATAAAAGTAAACTGCAATAAATTACAGGTTGCAGTAAAATAAACCACTAAACAAACCACCTTTGTGGTGCAATTATTTCATGCATAGTTGTTTCGTTTTTCTTTTTTTGTTGTCTTTACTGTGTAAGAATATTCAACACTGCTATCAACAGATTTTTCAAAAGATGCCTCTCTCTCTGCAAAAGGGTTTTAAAAACATAAAGCTGTGGGATACTGTTTGTCTGGGATGTGGACATAACTTGGCACCACCGTTGTGCAGGTGAAGCCAAAGGTAAGATATGCGTCATCATATGTTCTTTGGCGATGCTTCATCTTCTGCTTCGCGTTTGTGTGAAAGCCACGTCAAAAACCTGACCATGATGCTAGCAGTGTCCAAGCATTCCTTTTTTTATTCATGCACATCCAGCCCTCAGGTTCAAACAATAAAGTCAGAACAAAGGTACAGAATAAGAGGGCAAAACGAGCAGTATGATCGCACAGGACTGGAAGGGCACATGTGCTATTCTGTTCAAAAATAAAAACAGTCATGTTGTCTTTTATCTTCCAACATGTGCACTGCAGACATTCAGCATTGCACAGCAGCATGCAAACTTAGTTGGGAAACCTTGCTCTGATTTAAGCAGCATGTGTGCGCCCTGTGTTACAGCAGACTGGGACAAATCAGTGCTGTGACCTTCAGCTGCCCCATGAAGTGTGAACACATGACATTTGTATTTACTTTCACCATTATTTACCACTAAAGCTTTTATGTCTGACGTTTGGCGTGTTTTCTAAGTATATTAAATTCAGCATTGTTTGGTTCCCTGTGCACCAGCGTGTGCTTTCCTTTTAGCAAATTAGTTTGAATATTGCAGTATATGCTGCTCCGCTGATCTCCACCTGTAGCTGTGTATATTCAATTCAAGTTTATTTATACAGCTTCAAATCACAACAACAGTCGCCTCAAGGCGCTTTATATTGTAAGGCAGACCCTACAGTAATAGGGGTCTACCTTATATCACCTCTGTGATGTAGCACACTGACCGAGGTGCAAAACAAATGTGCTCATAAAGAAAATGTTTCCAATCTAAAAGTGAAGCAAACCACAGTGCTTTGAGACCATCGCCATCAGATGAGGACCGTGCATTTCACTCATCTGAGACAAGAAAAGTGACACACATCAGCCAGATGTTAGGATAAAATGCAGTTTTGCATTCTTGCCAGACAGAAGGAAATCCTGGTGTCTGTCAAGAAGCACAGAGAGGAATTCAAATAGGAATGAAAACAGACGAAGACGATAACAGGTACACATTGTAAAGGTCACAAGACACACAACTAGTTTTTGTTATGCTTTTGATATTAAATTTCAAGTCACCAGTTATCCTGTTTTGCCTTTTCATAGGAATGATTTTTAGGTAACGACGGCAAACAGCTTTTCCTTCACATCTGTGCTCCCTCAAAAGGAAAATAAACAGCTGGAGGCAACAGGATCTGGAAGAGAATCAGTGGCAGCAAAGAGGCTCTAAAGACTGACGGATAACAAGTGATTGTACTACAGCATCAAGTGATACGTTTTAAATTCTGACTGTGAAGTAAAAGGGTCATGTAAAGATTTTAACTACCTTTAAAATTATGAATAAATACAGCACTTCTGTAAATGTGTTTACTTACCGTCCACCACAAGTTAATTAGTAGTTAACTACTGAAATAGACCAAATAACTACATTACATACTTATGTGCTGTAGCCTTTGCAAGGAAGTAGTGGAGGAATCTAAATGGTTAACATGTTAGCTGTTAAAGACCACCTGCATATAAATGCAGCTTGTAGAATAGATTTTCAATCTAACCCAGTCCTGTTTGATTTATTAAGCATTTTTAAAGCTGAGAGTTTGAAAAACGTGCTGTACATGACACAACACAATCAGTAAAACAATAAAAACAAAATAAAAGGCAAAGATAAGAACACACTGCTCTCAAACAGGCAACAAAGTGGCCATGGGCGATCATTGCACAGTTTGAGAGCACTAACAGAGAAAGCTGGATTGCTCCGGGTTTTCATCCAGGTTTTTGGGAGTGCCTGGAGCAGCTAGTCCAGGACGTCAGCCACCTCAACGGAATATTTTTGCAATCTGCAGCTCAGCTTGTACGGTGGTGCTGATCCATGAAAGGTTTAAAAAGTATATAGTAAAATCTTAAAATAAAAGAAATGGGAATGCACGATAAACCCAGAATTGATCTGCTTGTGTATTTAATACGGGTTTAACATCCACCTGCAGAAAAGAAAGAGCAGCACAGATACCAGTGTGGTCGAACACAGTGACGTTGGTCCTGTTTTCATATACGTTTCTTTATAAGGTTATTCATGCGTTCAAGGGTTTACACAAGCAATAAGCCAAAAAGCCAAATGTATTCATTATTGTGCCCAGAGATGGGCAGTAAGGCGTAATCTGATTACTTTTTTCAGGTAACGAGTAATGTAAGGGATTACTATTGCGAAAAAAGTAATTAGATTACTGTTACTTTCCCGTAAGCATGCTGCGTTACTGCATTACTAAACCGTCATACTTTTTTGCGACATACATGGATAACATGGAGTGATGGAGAGAGTACGACCATGCAGCGTTTAAAGCGTGGAAGTAATCACATTACTTTGAGTTTGATTCTGTAAAAAGTGACACAAACATTAGCGTCTGCTGTTCACCCTGCATGGGAAGAAAACTTCTTTCTACAGCGAAAAATTTAACTTCAAATCTGAATCTCACGCTGCCACGGGAACGTGACATCCACAGAGAAACCCCCCACTGACAGGACCGCTGTGGGCAAACCTCCACCCGCCCCACTCCTGCTAAACAGGTGACAATAAGAGCGACAGGACTCAGAGCTGCTTTTAAGTTTTACTTTCATTTATTTGAAAGAGTGTAAACACAAAGCATTATTTTATTTTATATGCTGGAATATGCAGAACATGGCTTTAAATGGTAAATAATGTCTTCAAGTCAAAGACTGTTGCATATATTGTCATTTTTGCTTGATGCAATGTGCATAAAGTTCAAAGATTAAAACTAATAAAACAAGTTTTAAAAAGAGACGTTTCCATTTGATTCAGTGTTACATGATGGATTATGCAGACAAGTAGAACTGGGCTGAAAGGTCTGTTGCTTTATTACATATTCAGGTTGGGTATCGTGTTTTTAAAAAGTAACTAAGTAACTAATCACTTTTGAAAGTAAGTAATCCCCGTAAAGTAATGGGATAACTTTTTCTTGAGAAGTAATCAGTAATTAGTTGCTGATTACTTTTTTCACGTAACTTGACCAACGCTGGGTTTAGGCCAGACGGCGTTACAACAGAGGATTTGTAACTCTGTAACAGTGCCAGCATCCGGCTGCAAGAACAAACAGAAACAGAAGTAGATGATACTCTTGTCTCTTCTCTGCCACTAAGCACGTTACATAACCCTAGTTTTGGACTGCGGCCCTTTAGCGAGATTTTGTGAGTGTGTTGTTTTTGGTTTTACACATTGTGCCTCTATTGTATATATGACTGATCTTGTGTAATACTTATATAAGAGATAACGTGGCTGTTTGTTTGTGTGTGATGAGGAAAAGGAGGGCTGCTCTGTCAGCTTGCTTGGAGAAGCATAAACAGTAGCAGCTTTGTGTTTCAGCAGTGTGTCAGTATTTATCCAGTAGCAATGACGGAAGGGGGTTTCTCTCACAGATAATAATACTGACAACATGCAGAGCAGACTTGCTGCCATGCAAGCTGTTGTGTTTAGCAGAAATCTACTGATAACTCTGCAAAATATCAGCTTAGAAAAGCTGGGAGTCTGTACAGAACTGAGTTTTGTTTTGTTGAGTTTTTATTTAGGATTTGAAATCGCATTATCAAAATTTGGGTGCTAGAGAGCGCATGATGAGTAATAAGGGATGACTCAGAAGTATGAATAAAATATGTCTGACCTTAGCCATATTTCCTAAATGAAAAATATATGAGCTATGAATTGCTGTTTACCATCTCCAAGCTCTGCCTTCAATCTTCAATTGTTAGCTGCGAGAATATTCTTCATAAAATGTTTAAGTCTTAGTGGATCATTCTCATTGCTTCATGTCAGTGTTTTTTGGTCGGCCTTTTAGGACAAATGGCTTTGAGAATATAAAACTGTAAGTCTGGGCTGGAATCGCATGCTCTGTCAGATCTTTTCTGCTCATTGTGCACTATAAAACTCACATTAATTGTTCAGTACAGTTCAGTTTTATTTATAAAGTGTCAGTTCACAACAGAAATCACGCAGGTGTCAACCTCAGTAGTACAAGGAGGTGGTGCAAGACCATGTATAGGACCAGTACAGGGCAAAGTCACTAAATCTCCTTATGTCATTTCCCAAATATTTTATTTACATATTTCCTGTAGGACTGTGAATAGTACCTAAGACTCTTGAACATGTAATCAATCTGCATGAGCCCTTCTCTGTACCCCTTCTGTGCCACCTCACAGAAAAATGTTGGAAACGCCCCTGCTCCACAGTCATTTCATTTTCTGCCATTTCTGCCCATCGAGGTCAGACCAGGCCAAGCTAGACCCTAATCACTAACAGACAAACTGTGCTTTCGCACAGAGCCCCGCTATAAAAGCCAGAAACAGCCGTTCTGCTGGTGGAGTCATGACGGAGAGCGGCGGGGCTCTGGAGCGCCTGAGGTGAGTACACGCGTAAAGACTCACCGGAGCTGCAACAACACGGTAGGAGACGTTTTGTTTGGGCCGACACATTTGGTTTTAGCTTCCAGAACTGATTATAGAGCAAAATGTTATATTGCTGAAAAATATCAATTTCATACTTTCAACTCAAGTTGTTTTAAATTATATATTCACATTAAGGCCATTAATGGTAATAATATTGTTGGTTGTAGTTTACATCCTTATTTTAATGCTTATTTTGTTTTAATATAAATTCGTTAGTCTGGATATTCAATTATTCCCGCTAAGAAAAAAATGAATTATTATCATTATTATTATTTTACTGCTGCTGTTGAGAAGCGATAGAAGGCTTTCATGTCTCTTCTCTTCTGTTTACATTGTATAAATAAATGAAGGAGCAACAGTGACAAACTTATAGGAATAAAGGATATTTTTAATGGAACAGAAAGGCAAACACCTGCATCATAATCATTTAATCCGCCCTGAGTGTTTGCCTCTCTGTTCCATCTCCAAATAAATAAATAATAATCCTGCAGGGAATCTGGCAAATAAAATCCGGGCTACTGTGGGTCACATTAAAAGCTTAATGGTGCTAAAAACAAAATGTTTTCTAACTTGAGAAATGAAGAATTTATTTGTTTTTGAAGAAAAGGATCACATTTACATGTTAGTGTGAGTCCAACTCAGGACCTTCTTCCTGTGAGGCAAAAGTGCGCGACAGACTTTTGAATGGCCAGCAGGGGGCGTCCTGAGCGGTTGCAAATAGAGTTCCAGTTTTATGGGGCTCGTGTTTCTTGCCCCGTGACCTAAACACTTTCCTGATAATTTTATGGGTTTCATGTTCACTTTTAGATTATATTATGTAGACGATATGTTCAATATTAGCAGAAAAAAATGATTTTCCAGGATCTGCTCACTGGATTTGTCAACATCAACTTTTTAGTGGATTTCACAGTGAAACTCTGTTTATGGTTTGTATCTGCAGTCGTGTTCATTTTGCACCCAGAACTCATAACCACTGAGGGCTGGAACATAGCTGGGCAGGTTTTGCCTTCAGCTCTGCTCCTTACACTGCATCTAAGATCTAACAACCTTTTTAAAACACAGCATGTCTCGTAAATAAAATAAGACCTCTGATTTTATATAAACTCTGATGTCTATTTACATTTTATGTTGTGGGTTAACCTTACTAACTATAGCTGCACACAGCAGTACATCTAAAATGTTTTCTGTACTTGGATTCCACATAAACCTTCAAATGTATGACAGTAGCACTGTTTTTGTGCACACGCTACAAAATCAAAAAGAGGCCCACACAATTATTGCACTGTGTGAAATTCTTGGCTCGGATGGTATCACATTGTTCCCAGATAGATCAAACAGACAAAGAAACCACTGTGATCTACAAACAAATGAGTCTGAGAGTCTTGGTGAAAGACTGATCTGGCCATGTGTGCCAGATCTGTGGCTCTGTCGGTGTTGTTAGTGTACATGCTTAAACATTATTACCAAAAAGCTAGCTTTCAGTCATTTATCGTCTGCAGCAAAGATTGATTTAATGTCAAAGTATGTGGTTCATTAAAATAAATTCATGAACATCTAGGTTGAAACCAATTAGAGTAGCTAATGAGACAGTGGATCTTTGGATCGCTCCCCATGGTTTTTATCTTTTTTAATTATCTGCAGGGTCTGCTTGACCCTCCAGAAGAGTCCCTGACCCATCATTTGTCCCGTTACAATTTGTATGCATTAATTTGCAGTTTTTGATCATTTATCATGATGTAATTAAGCAGATTTTAGTATACAGCAGCATCCTTGTGTGGTCAATTACAAATGCAATCAATCCAAAAGCTCAGATAGAAATTTAAAAGGCATTTGAAAGCTAAAAATAGAAATGAGGGCAGACTGTGCAGAGTGGGCAATTCTCCACACTGGTTCATGCCCTGAAGGGCTCTGTAAGCTCAAAGCCCACTGTGTAATTTTCTCACTGCAACTAATTACAAAAAAACATTAGTTTGTTAATCTGGTATGCACCATTAAAGCACGGGAAGTTGATAAAGCCTATTAAGTGGGATATTCCTTATTAGCTACCTGGAAGCACCATCTCATGATGAGGCCACGAGTCAAAATCTAGTTCATATTAAGTTGTTTAGTAAATATTATTAATGTTGTTTTTGTTAATATGCACCTGGTGCCCTTACCCCATCAGCCAGGGTAGGCATTTGTGATTTATTTATTTATTTGGACAAACACTAAAAACATCACACTTTCAGAAACTAGAACATCCACATACTTTTTTGAGCCATGCTTGACGAGTTAAATCTTGATTAGGCAGGTTAACAGTCTTAATATTACATGAGAAGAAAAGTCATATAATAGAACAGAATAGAATAGAATAGAATAGAATAGAATAGTATTTCCCTCCTTGTAGATTGCATTGATACAGTATAATGATAGTAATTCTCAGACCCCCTCAGCCTGAATAGTGTGAACTTGTTTATCTGCAGTGAAATAGAAAGTGAGCTTTCCTGTCACACAGTTTACAAAGCAAATTAAAGCTCAGGCCATGGTGCAGAGCAGAGAAAGGTTCGGTCCACAGTGGGTGCAAGCACAGAACCACTCAAGCTCAAAACTAACAAATGAGGTGGCCAACCTGCTCTACTCTCTCTCTCTTTTCAAATGCAGGTGAGCCGCACTCATCGTGACCATTTTGAAACCAACACGTTGTCCATGTGTTATCTCCCCATTAAAAGGCCACAACCCCCTCTCACAGCATGTTTCCTGTCTCTACGCTCTCTTCCAGGAGGTGTTGCTTTCCCTGTAAACCACAGTCTCAGTCCTGGCCTCCATCGTGCTTCACTCAAGACAAAGCTATGACTGCCTTTAAGGGCATCTGGACCAAGGAGTTCTGGCGCTGTGTGGCGGCTGAGTTCTCTGCCATGCTGATCTTTGTCCTGCTTGGCCTCGGTTCAACCATCAACTGGGGCACTGAGGATCCCCACCCCCCCGACCTCGTGCTCATCTCTCTCTGCTTTGGCCTGACTATTGCCACCATGGTGCGGTGCTTCAGCCACATTAGTGGGGCTCATATCAATCCAGCGGTCACAGTAGCCATGGTTGTGACCAGGAAGCTGAGCCTGGCTAAAGCAGTCTTCTACCTCCTGGCCCAGTGTGTGGGAGCCACAGTTGGGGCGGCCGTACTGTACGGGATCACCCCAGCCGCTGTTAGGGGTGGGATGGGAGTCACTGAGGTAAGAGCAGGAGTGTGTGTCTTTAAATGTGTGACTATGTGTGACAGTTTTATTCTCCACTACCGACCTTTTGCCTGTGAATACATTCATCTGACTACATGCTCACGTGAGTGTGTTTTACTCACACAGGTGAATGACAGCATCTCTGTGGGTACCGCCCTGGTCGTAGAACTCTTCATCACCTTTCAGCTGATCTTCACCATCTTTGCCACCTGTGACCACAAACGTAAAGATCTCAAAGGTTCATCTGCTTTGGCTATCGGCCTTTCTGTTTGTGTTGGTCATCTGTTTGCTGTAAGTACCCAGACACCTGTGCAGTGATTCATCGTGATGTGGGAGAAATTCAGTTCATTGTAATCATGAACAGCTTATTATGTGAACATGTTACAGATTACT